GCCTTTCATCCAGACTGTCTACATCTATTCTAAATTTCATTACATTCCGATCAGCAGTTTAGGGTACAAACGTTAAAAAACATCCATGCAAATTCTCCCATTCATAACTTTAGTAAGAAGTAAGATTTTTAAGTTTCAGTTTTTGTTAATGTTAAGTAGTGTAAACCTAAGGCACAGCAAATCTTGTATGTACGAACCTTCGGGGTCATTTTCGTCAATAAGGGCCTGGAGTTCAGAGTCGTCGAACAGTTGACCCATGGTGTTTAAGATGGTGGAAATTTTGAGGACATCGATGTAACCGGACTTAGTGGTGTCGAACATCTGGAATGCCTTGCGGAGCATGGCCATTTTCTGATCATCGTCAGTGTCCTGGAAATTTAAACAATTACATATTATAACAAGATAAATAAAAAAACAACATATTGTGGAAATCGGAAGTTGACTGAACTGACAAGTAAAAAATCTTAGACTTAAGTTTTTTGTTGTAGGTTTTGAATCCTGACTGTTTGAAAACAATGGAGGATAACTTAAATTGTATGCTTCAGATTAAATATGATATTACTTTCACATTTAACCTATTTTAATTTAATTATTTATGTATATTTTTTTTAAATCAATTAAATTTCTATGTTACTGTTATCACATGTCTTAACACATCACTTCTATCACTTTTCAATTGTTCTTTCACAAATAAAAAAAATAATCCTCACCATGTTTAAAAATTATTGACGCGAGAGTAACAAGAACCAAAACCGAGTGCGAGTATTGTTACACTGAAGCTTAACTTCACGTGCTACCCTTATTTATAGACCATTTCAGTCCGCGGTATACACATACGAAAATACTTGAAAATCCATATATCTTTCTCTATCTATCTATCGTGTGATCTCCAATAGTGACGCGGCGCCTCCGTCTCACATACGTCAGAGCTCTGAAAATTTGTATCATTACAGGAAACGGGCTGTTTATTTCCAGCAATTTATTGGTTCAATATGACAAATGCCTTTTTATTTCTTTTTAATGGGAATGCAGTCCGCTTTTAGCACTTCCTGATATTTAAAAAAATACCTACAAATTTCATTTTTTTAATAATGTATTTAGATTTACCTACAACTTTGTATGTTATGTAAATTACAGAATTACACATTTGACACAATTACAACAGATTCAATAAAATAAGTGATTTGATATATAAAATGATAAATGTTTTATACTTTTGACAATCAATACAAAATCTTACAGAATCAATCTAAATGTGAATGAAAATCGCATGCCAACTGACGCAATCAGCTCATTTGCGGATTTAATAGTTTTGTTAAAAGCTTGCATTTGGAATGCTTTATATTAGAACTAAAAGCGTATGCGTATTAAGCAGTTTACAGATCGAGAACAGGAAATACCTTTGAAGTAAATACCGTTCCGCAAGCGTCCCAATGAAAATATTACGAGGAACGTCACAGTTTGGTAGATTAATTTGTAGTTTATAGATGTTTAAAATATAATTATAATTACTTCATTATAGAGTAAATTCTCTAAATTAATTTAGAATTATGTGTGTTATTAAAAAAAGAATTTTCTTTTTAAGTTCGCAATTTTTTTTATTTATTTTTGGCATATAATTTAGCAATGACAGTAATAGAGTCGAGTGCTTTCGATTGTTCTATTGTCACCTTGATGTATTAAGGTGATGAGACTGCTTTTGGTATGCGATACCAATTTGCGGCCGCTGGCGCGTGAAACGGGTTATACGACGCCCGCGCACATATAGAATGTCGGTGATCGACTATAATTTTTGTGCTCTCTAGCAAACGTCACTATAAAGCTGGCAACACACGAGAGCAGACCAGTGAAGTAAAGCGGTATGCAATACAGTACACTGAATGTATGAATACATTTAAACAGAATAGCACTGTTTTAAAAATTAGTTTACTTTAAAATAATAAGAGACCTCCGTTATCTACTGCTCTGCTTCATAATTCTGCCTCCGTGTAATACTAGCATAACAGACGGTTCAGTCTCCAATAAGCTTTTGTGAACGACCATACGTTTTTAATGATCGCACTTTTACAGTCGCCTCATGATTTTATAATCACTTCAAAGCGTAAGACATAAACAATATTTGTTTCTTGTTTCAGCTTAAAGAATATTTATTCTTGCTTTTTTGGACATACGCTTTGTGTTTGTAATAATTTTATTTCTTTCATCAATCGCTCACTAGTCTAAAATCTTGCTTTTATAATCTGTGTTTACATTAACAAGTGTTAGAATTGGATAATATAATCTATGTATTTATAAACCAACACAATTACAATAGTTAATTAAGGCAATACAATTTCATTCCAATAAATTATTCGTTGACATTTATTTGGCATTGTTGACCAATGTTACCGAATGTAACACATCGAATCCGTCGTGTCATATGCAACTGTATTTTATTAAATCGTCTTTCAAGTAGAGAAGATAACATCGGCCAATAGATGATATTCCAAATACCTTGGCTTCGCACGTCCTAAACTATTTCTGAATAACGCCCGTGGGGACTGAGTTACGCGTTATTTATATCAATTCATCTCAACTATCTGTGTAACTGTTTGTGAACACTTTTCATCTATCTGTTATAGTATTTCAATGATGTGGTTAACATTGGAGATTTTATATCGTAAACTATAGACATCTTATTATGTTTACCATAAATCTATACTAATAAAGAAGAAAGATTTGCATTTTCGTATGTAAATATATTAATAATATATGGTATACCACATCAAATAATTTAAATAATATTTTCGAAATTATGATTTAACATTTAGTAAATATACCAATAATAACTAGAAATATTTTTTATCTGTAAAAATATTACCAAAACAAACATAGAACATGCATATTCTTTGTTGTAAATATGACATGTACCCTCGGTTGTGTAGTCTTTTATTTTAAAAAAATAATTCACAGAAAAACAAAAGAGAATCGCTATAGAAAGTTTTTCGTGTAAGTTACGAACGTATGTTTAACGCAACACGTAATTATTTGGTGTGTGAAAACTGAAGTGAATATCAAGTTTGCTCTCGTCGTCGTTGGAATCGTACACATCGAAAGTTAGTATTGTTTTGTTTAATTTTACTAATGTAACTGTTACTTAGTACGTTTAGGTTGTTTTATAAAAATAGTTATAACGAACATTAGATTTTAAGGTTATAAACATGCCAGACAATAACAAACATTGAGAATATCACGTGAAAAGTATTTTGAAATGCAAATAAAAGCAGCTAATGGTTATTAAACCTTTGTAATTTATTTGCTATAACATTATATTCAATACTAGCTTGAGAGTTTGTAAAAAGGAGCTATTAAAATTATTGTTTGGTCTGTGTCTAAAATACTTCATCAGAGTAATGCATTAATTAGGCAGCTATGCTAAATCGAAACTGAACCCTGAGTCATTTGTGTCAATGGAGTACAGCTACGATTTGGCACGGAACCGACCGCTCTTCCTTGCAGGAACTACTTACAACGTTTTATCTATTGCCAAACATAAATTCGTGTTCAATCGTGCCAGTGTTTACATTATAGCTGATTAATGTTGATACAAACAATATGATTTTCATAATACATATAGTTAACTAAATTTTAGTTTAAGAATAGGTCTTACAATTTCTAAACATATTCAATCTTTTGTGTTATGTCTGCTAGATTAAACATTTCTGTTGTAAAGTGTAACTTTTTAATCTTATCTTTATAAGTCTTTAGGTTATTAATTTAGCTATTATAATTTTGCAATGGTTAAGTTAAATGTAATTTTTTCCTCTTAACTTAAGTAACAATGAACAACTATTCAATGTATAATAATATAATAAAAAATCTCGCTAATATGTAAATTCTAAAACAATCGAATTGAAAAAATTATATTTAAAATACGTCGTTAAGAAGTAACAGAAGGTAGACTATTTTTTTACTACCAACGCACATTTAATTTCACTCGAGCGATTCTGAGCAGAAACTCCTAGTCTATTACTTACGTAACTATGAATAGTAGTAATATTGAAGTTGCTTGTAATACAGATAATATGCACTTTAAATTAATGGAAACAGATACTTAGTAATACATGGTAATAACGTATCTGCACTCGTAAGATTCTAAAACCTTGTAATCGACTGTAAAAATATTTCTGTTTGCATTCTAGCTGTTGTCACAGTGGTGAGCGATGGTTTTTAAATTTTCCGTGATGAAAATAGGGAAAGCGTAACATCGTTGTAAACTTTTTGGGACAGTGCCAAAAATAATGACAGATATTTGGATGACACAGTTATATTGTTACATTGATTTCTTGACTATTGTTACCCAATTGATTGATTCTTCAATCGTATTAGAGCGTGCGCAAACCTACAACGAAACTATCGCACAACTGTTTAGTCGCGCTTCAATTAATACTAGCTGTTGCTCGTGACTTCGTCGTCGTGAAATTAAGAAATAATATAAAATATAGCCTATGTTACTCACAGATAAATTACCTTTTTCACGGTGAATTTTTAAAATCGGCCTAGTAGTTTTAGAGTTATTTCAATACATAAAAAAATACAATCTATGTTATTTATAATATTAGTATAGATGAGCTTATATAGAGGTCCGCATAATACTGGATGTTTAGTTGTGCAACTAAACAGTTGAATTGGATGCGAAACAGTCGACAATCGCACGACAGCTGTGCGATAGTTTAGTCAAAAGTATGTGCCCGCTTTAATATTGATACATTTGCGGTATAGTTTATGTTATTTATTAATAGAACTGAGACAACTTTGTGCTGATCATAATATTTTGAATCTAAACTGTTTTCTTTAAATTGATGAGCGATGAGGTAATTTTAAGCCAAAAGCCAAACAAATAGTGCTTAAGTAAGCTTCAAGCGGCTTTTAATACCTCCGAACAAGATGATGTTCATATCAAAACGTTTAAAATTAAGAATAAATTTGGAAATCGGGCGTTTAAAAAATGAAATCAAGTCTAAAATTAATGAAGTTTTTTATTTACATCTTATTGTATCTGTATTACTAAATAAACCAAAACATAACAAATATTTCAAGTAACAGTTAAATACAATTAATAATAAACTTTGTCCTCAGTACTGTCAGAATTGTCAAAAGGATTAGTAAAAAGAAAATCGTATACAGTTGGATTACGTTTCTTCGTTTGTATAACTACAACAGGTTCAGTCACAACATCGTCAACTTTGTACTCGTCTTTCAGCCCTGTTATGGTTTTTTGTAAAATGTCACTATTATCTGTCTCTTTAACTATGTTTTTAAAAACATTCTTATTAGTATTTGATATAACTTTATCGAAATCCTTGAGATTAGTGTTCAAATCTTCTTTAACTTTAATTTCAACATCACGTACCACTTTATTAGTTGTAACGTCTATAAGATTCTTTGTTGTACTCTCTTTAGTATCTGTATCTTGTCTGTATTTGGTATAATTTCCCCTTTTTGATGCATAATCATCTTTTTTACCATATTGACCTCGTTTTGATTTGTAATCAAAAGGTTCCCTCTTAATAGTAAAATCAGGTCGAGCTGATAATTTCAAAATTCTTAGCGGTTTTTGTATTTCACTGTTCTTTTTTAAAATAGCGTCAAATTCTTCTTCATTTAAAGGTTTTTCTGAAAAATCTGTTTCCATAGAATTTACTTTATATATAGTTTTACTGATGTCTTCATCGACTGGAATTGTATTCTTTATATTTTCTTCAATTACATCTAGGTACTGATTTTTAATTGAATCGGTAAAATAAGATGCGGGTACTTCTATAAGATCTTGTGTATCCTCTTTGTAGTTAGTTCTTTTTGCCAAATAGTCATCTTTTTTACCATATTGACCTCTTTTCGATTTGTAATCAAAAGGTTGTTTATTTGCATTAAAACTTGGACGTGCTGATGATTTTAAAAATCCCATTGGCTCAATTTCACTGCTTGTCCAAGTGTTAGTGGACTCTGGTGCATCGAATGCTTCTTTTACAGGTTTATTTTCAACTTTATGTGTTATAACAACGTCTTTGATAAGAGCATTTGGAAGATCAAGTAATTGATGCATATTAATTTTTAAATCCAGAGGGTAGCCCGGATTCGACATAGCATCGAAGTTATATTCTATATTTCCAAAACGTCCATTGACTGCTGGCTTTATGTACGGAGCTATGAAGACGAATATTTGGAATGGTAAACCATTTTCAGAGCCTTTAGGTAGGACCAATCGTGAAGGGAATCCAGTTTGAGATTCTAACGTCTTAAGTGGCAGAGAATTTAATCCAAATTCTGCATCTTCTAACTGTTTCTTTATAATTTTTAATGAAGTCAAATCAGGTGATAGTTTCATCTGTTCTGATGTCCTCGTTATCATATTTTTGCCACGTTTAAGGTTAATTTCAAAACAATCAAGCAAAAAGAATTGATTTTTCATTTTATCAAGTTGACCGGGCAGAACTTTAGGACTTATAAATAATTTAGCAAATCCCTTTTGTGTTACTAAAGACGAAATGTTAAGTTTTATTGAAAATGGTTTATGACTCAATCTGTATTGACCGATCTTAACCAAAAATTTGCTATTACTTGTCGAAGTCTTAAGAGCATCGGTGGCATCAAATTCAAAATATTCGAAAGAAGTCATCATTTTTTTGATATCGACATTCACAATTTCCACTCCAGGAAATATTAAGTCGTTTCTGTTATAACCCGGTAAAACACTTAGAGCACAATCAACTAGATCCACAATTTTTTTGTTAATCTTCCAGAATATAGGATCTCTTACTGTCGTTAAATAGTGTCCTAACACCGTAGGTAACCTGTAAAAGTAATGGTTATAGTCAAAGAAAAGATGTGCCACAATGCGATATTTATAGTTAACTTACAAGAAAAATAATATTAAGAAATATTATGCTCACCTTGGTTCGGAACCAATGTTGATATCAAGTAGCTTATACGCTAAATTTTGGTAGCTCTTACTACTTATCACCAGGATATCCATTAAATGATTTATAATTTCTTCTTTTGCGAAGCCTTTCTCCCTCTGAAAGTTTTTCAATTAAATTTAATAGAAACACAAGGAATACTAGTAGTCTTACAAAAAAAATACTCACCATGTGAGTGGCAACTGTTACAATATTTTCTTCGATATTACGTAGTAGTGTCAAGTCTTCATTTTCAAGTAAATCACCTAAATTACTTTGTCTAAATTCTTTACCGTTAGAGTAAATTAGCATTGAATTGTATGGTATGATCGATCTTGCATTCCAGTCAAAATCTTCTTGTTCTGGTAGACCATTTGAATATCTTTCCAAGTTGTATCTGGTAGCAAGCTGTTTTAACGAGTGATATAAATTTTCGGCAAATTTTGGACGAACACCCAATGAAACATTAAGCCACGGCAATGAATTTAGTTTGTTCAAATAATAGTATGTGTTTAAACCCACGTCCTCATTGAAGTACGTTAAAGATTCTTGATTAGTTTCGTAAGGGCCGTTAGAATATTCAGCATCAACAATATACGAGTTGCCCTGTTCACGTACGTTTTCAGTAATAAGCCATTCTTCATCCGATAACAATAATGAACCTTTGATAATAGCATCTTTATTAACAAAATAATTTGGAAGTAGTTCATAAGGTGGTGGAATCGATATTTTTTCAGTATCTTTTCTGTTCAAGACTGCAAGATAAATCGCATCAACGTATATACCACAATTAATATTTTGTCTCGCCCAAGCAGCTGCCTTGTAAAATGTTTCAAAATCTTTAGCAAAATAGAGAACCTCGAATACAATTTTCAATTCAGCTAAATGATCTTGGTTGTATTCAGAGAATATTTTACCCTTAGGTAAAAATCCTTTTGAACTCTTATAGTTTTGTAAAGTGGTAATCACATTAGGATTCTGTAAAGATTATTGAAAAATGAGTAATATTCCCTACAGGAATTACATTTAACAATATACATTGAAAATAAAAAAATACCAGATAATTTTCATTTCCGTAATCCTTTTCAAAATCGTTGCTTAAACTAACAACCAGTAAATCAGTACTGTCTTCGCAAACATTTTCGAATAAAGGCATTAAACGCTTCTGAAAATACACCCATTCTTGTTTCTGAACTGGAACTGAAATAGTGAACAATAATATTGGCAAGGATAAGAGCAGGCAAAACAAAACAAATTGGTTTAATTGCGTGTCGTGGAAATGGCATAATGTAGAATATAAAAAGTTTGATTTCCTGATAGTATAAAAGACCTTAATTTTGAACAAAACAACATATCAAAATTTAAATTGGTGGAAACCTGTAAACCTGGCTTTAAGTGAATGCTTTGTAAGAAATTTATATTACCTGTTCTCGGCAGCCATGGTGTCGTAGGAACCTTGATAAGGTATCCTGACGTCCCGAGAAAAGCAGCAGCAAGCAATAGTAATGTTAATTGAAACATTGTGCCGCAACTGATTTGTTAATTCGATCCTTGCTGTATATATACTTTCTTTTAGGGGCAATGAATTAAGTAATTATTCTTGAAAATAAATAGATAATCAGTTTAATGCACTACAGTTTTAACGACTATTTTGTTTATTATGACTAATGCAACATTATAATGTCAATGGCATAAGAGGTCAATCATATTGGACCAGGAATGGTGAATTCATAATTTCACGGTTTCAAACTCTAACAAAAATATCTTATAATTCTTTCTAGTTACGCCATTTGTTTCTCTTAACTGTTCAACAAATGTAAGGTTAGACTTGTGTTTTACAATATTGGAGACGTTTAAGGACATCGTTTATAAGTAATTATATCGATATTTATCTATCAATATATTTAGTTACGTTAATACAACGATGTCATAAAACCATTAATTGCATATCAATATTTTAGCCTAATTTAAATTCTGTCCAACCCCGTTTTGAACGAGTGTCAGAGTTTGAAATCAAATTAAAATGTAATATGAGTTCGTCATACTATCTTTATCAGTTACAAAATATTACAGGTCATGTCATAACAAAAATTATAAACAATCTCCGGTGCTATCAAATAATTACAATGTCAACGTACTGACCTAGCACAAACTTGCTGTAAATTATCACGTTGTTTTTAAATGTATTTATCGGGTTATTTCGTCATATTTATAAAGTTTAACATACTACCATATATATATTAAGTTTAATATCGCTTCTAGAAAATGTATAAGCCAAAGTAAGGATCGCATAAGAGATTTATTTTTATAAAGCATGTCTCAATTTTCCAACATCAACAGCGTTACTTTACTATTTTAGGAATCTTCGATAACAGAATTAAGTCAATAGATACCAGCACTATATGATAATCCTTCATCACCAACCAACCCTTGTCCCTACTGAGATTCGGCACAGTATGTACTATTCTTCCATACATCTCTATCGATCTTTGTATTCGAATTCACTCCCGTCTATTGTACTTTCTTCATCTTCCTTATCCAGCAAATAAGTCGTTATAAATCAATACATTTGATGGTGTTGATATCCTCGTAGTTTAATTAACTATGTCCTATTTGATGTTTTATATGACGAATTAATTAAAGCCCAGTACATTTATCTTATTGATCTAATGAAGCTATTAGATAGTTGTGTTTATTTTCATCTTTAATTATGCTTTATCGTTCGACTGGCATTGATCCATATTCATTTGATTTTACTACGCCGCACTAATGTCTCTCGATAATGCTGCCAACATTAGCTTCTAATACTTCCATATCCCTATTATTTTATTTAAATTCATTCTAATTCGATGGGCTGATGATTGGACTTACATTTATGTGGGGTTTAAAAACTAACCAACGATATTATAAGTTCCAAAGTTTAGATGGATGTTTGTTGGTGTTTGTAGCCTAAACTGTTGAACGGATCATCATCATCTTCTTCCTTATCCCAGTCTCGTAGGGTCGGCGCGACAGGTTTTTCTCCTGCACTTAACTCTATCATACGTCATCTTAGTCATCACTCCCTTATTGATCATGTCACACGCATTCCATCCATCTCTTTCTAGGTCTACCTTTTAACTGTTGAACGGATCTCGATGAAATTTGGCATAGATTGAGAGGGTAGTCTGAAGAATACATAGGCTACTTACAGTTGTTTTTTTTTAAATTCCACGCAGACTTAGTTGCGGGAGAAAGCTAGTTCCAGATAATACAAATATTGATCATCTCGTTCACTTACTTTGACGAAATGGGAACTACAGGATGTAATAATATTAGTGTCACGGTAATGGTATTTTAGGGTAATTGAGTGCAGGCCTATTCTTGATAAACAGATACATCTTGCGTGTTCTCAAATTGAATTCCGTCCAGAGATAATATTTGCACTACGCATACATACTGCTCTAATTCAAATACTCTTAATACAAACGGTATTTCTTCATTCATCCATCAGTTGCAAAGTCAATAAGGTAGGAAATCTCCTTTCACGTCAAATTTGCTACACTACTTGGTCTTGCTATTTTTCAATTAGGAATGTCAAAACTCACTACATGTAAGAGAGGGCACACACCTTTGACTAAACAATCCCACAACTGTCTGACGATTGTTTCGCAGCCAATTCAATTGTTTACTTGCACAACTAAAAATCGAGTCATGTATAAGCTAATAGAAATCGAGGCAAGACTAAACAGTTGTGCGATAGTTTAGTTTCAGATGTGCGCACGCTCTAAGTGATCACGATCATTAAAGATTGCGATAAAGGAGGGACTAATTATTTGGTTCACTTATTGACAATATTAGAATCTCCATGTAATTATTAATTTATTTGTAATAATAAAGTAATTATTATTTTTGACACATTCTTCAGATCGGATTAATACACATATTATAGACTAACGGAAGTTTCGGAAGCTTGTACCAAGGACTCGTTGTGTAAACAACACTATCCAGATCCGATAGCAAATACTTGTGAACAGCCAAATATTTTACTATACATTAACCAAACGCACGTCTATTTAATAATATTGAATAGACGTTCCTTCTATAGCGGAATTTTGCCAAAACAATTTCTGGTTGTTCAATCATCATATTCTTTATTATCGAATAATTTTTAGTTTTTAAACATTTATTACCTACCAGCTGTTGGTCGCGACTTAGTCCAAGTAAAATTTAAAAAAGTGTAGTATAGTAACATAGCCTATGTTACTCACAGATAAATTAGCTTTTTAACAGTGAAAGAATTTTTAAAATAGGCCCAGTAGTTTTTGAATTATATCAATACATACAAAAATGTAAAAAAAAAATCTCTTTACATATTTTGTATATTTTTTGAGTAAATATTTGATACTTACAAATGACTAAAGTGGTTTTAGAAATTATTATACCGCCTTTGTTCTTAACAAATTACGTCATATCTGCCAGATAGTTATATGCTAATGCAAGAAATTAAATCAGAAAGTTTAATATGTAAAAAAAAGTTATCACTATTATACTCGTATTAACACGAGCATATCACAGATAACAATTTCAATATTTCTAGTCTTTTAAAAAAAGTAATGTTGTAATTATAATAAAAAATGAGAGTGACAATAATTTTAATTGTTCTAAATATAATGTGTTAGTAATATAGGAGATGTAGGTTCGCAGCCAAATATCCCTGATCGCACCTTGTCATGTTGCCACCGTTTGTTTTGAGCGACTGCTAATGGAATTCTTCGATGTCTGCGTGCCAAGACTCTTGGACCAAATAAATATAAATGTAAGGCCTTTTCTCTTAAAGTTTTCACACATTATAATTAAAGGTCTTGTCTATATTTGATTGTAATATTACTAGCATTTATTACTTTTGTAAGGTAGTATTTAAATATGTTAATAAATTTTATATGAAGAGGTGCACAAAACTAATGTTAATCAAAATTATAAAAAAACTTTTAAATATGATTTATAGTTGAATTATTCGAGCATTGAGCGGAATCTTAATAATTAAATATTAAAAAAAAAATTTGAATTTCATATCCTATATTTCTGATTTTAAAAATGTGCCATCTTTTGCACACACATAGAATCATAAAACAGATAGGCACATAATGGAGCCGTGTATGTATTTTGCTGTTTATTTATTTATACTGAACTATTTTGATAATAAACAGTTATGATTTTTTTTAAATCAATTACGTAAATGTCACAAAATTACGTAATTTACTGAAATATATGACTGGTGTAAATTGCATTTACAGTTATGCCATCTAGTATTAAAAGAAAGCACTACATAAATATACACAGTCTCCAATAGATGGCGATCATTTACGTTTTGTTGGATAATGTTTGTATTTTTTAACCAAGTTAACGTTAACACGTTTGATGCAATTTTTAATGTTCTTGATAATATGCTTTATAATTTTATTTATATGACGTCATTTATATTGCACCAATGGAGATCATAATGTCCTCACAATTATCCTACATATTAGAATTACTTTATTTTTCTCTGAATTGAGGTCTAAAATAACTTTTGATGAAATCAGTAGGAATGACCACTAGAGTTTGCCTTGTATTATGGTTTTGGAATTAAACAGTTTTCAAACAAAAAAAATAATGTGCTGGTTAATCTTTTCAGCTGATTTCTGTTTGTTTCTTAAGGCGTCTTTACAAATATTTACGTAAAGCTGCAGCCTCCTCAATTTATCGGCCTTGTTGACAAGTGAAACGTGTCGAGTGTTTAAATTGAATTTGTAGGAAAAGCTTTTATAGTCAGATATCGCACGTACCAGTTCATCTACAGTTTATGCCAAAATAAATCGCATCAAATATTATTTAGGTAACACTTTTTTGGTGTTAAACAAAAATAGTACATTAATTTGATTTATCGTTAACCTGCCATTGTTTCATTCAGCTAGTTCTTAGATTACAAATATCCTGCTAATTAACTCAAACTCTCAAAAACGTAATACGAAGTTATCCGCATAATATTAAAAGAATGTAACTATAGACATATTTTTTGAAGTGTTTGATTAAGTACTAAATAAACAATAAAACAATTGAGTAATTAAAATATGTATTTATTTATTTAATTTTTTCCAATGCTTTAATATATATTTGGTATATAAGTCATAAATATTCAAAAATAGCAATTATTTTGGTATTTACAGGTCAAATAGATTAACGTCTTTGTCTACTTTTGAGTTGATATCGACATTAGTAATATAGTCGTTCACTCCTACTATAGTTCGGTCGACCATGTTGTAGTTCTTCAGCACCCAGCGGTCCCATCTGGTCTTCATGTCACAGACCTGCTTCTTGTGGAAGATCACAACATTGACGAACTTCATGTTAGGCGTGAAGAACTTGGCAACGTCAATAGTGCGGTCAAACGGAAAACCTAGTGGCATCTTGTCAAGAAGAACAGTGGATCTGAAGTCTACAATCCAGTCCTTGCGGTTAGTATCAAGAATGTTTATGTCAACGTTGTCAACCAACTTCAACGGAGTTACAATAGCGTACAGCAAGAAGTTCATACCGCCGATGCGACCTTTAGGTAATAAAAGCCTTGTCGGGAATCCAGTGTGGTAGTTCCTCAAGTCCTTAACTAGCAGATCCTTCATATCGGTTAGTGTGTCGATCTTCTTCCAGAGATCACGAGTCATGATACGATCTCGCACCAAATTGTGCATATCGATCGAGTTTCTGACGACGGTATTCTTTCCGGTGTTCAATTTGTAAAGGAAGGAGTCTAATTCGACAAAGTTTACGCGGTTATGGTTGAGATCAATCAAGCGGCCCCAGTGATCTTCCTTCGGTCCTAAGAATAACCTGACCACACAGTCAACAGTTTTATCAGAAAGAATGTCTAGTGTGACTGTGAACGGTTGGTGGTTAAGACGACGTTTGCGTACCAAGAATACCATATCTGAGGTGGTCTTTTTAAGTTCATCTTCAGTTAGTGTAACAGCGTTGGTCATATCCATCAGGTAATCGTCAAAGTATGTCACCAGTTTATCAACAACAACGTTATCAATCTTTACTCCAGGGAAGAATAGTTCCTCCTTTGTGTAGCAAGGCAGGCGTTTCTTGAACAGGATCAAGAAGTCACACAAACGTTTTTGAAGTTGATAGAAGATAGGGTCACGCAGAGCAGTTTGATAGATGTCGAGAACGGATGGCGTTACAAAGTATCTGAAATGAATCGAACATGTTAACCATTGTAAAAAAAAGATTCTGTCTTATTCTATATTTCATATATAAATAAGACTTACTTGTTGGAATTGAATGTATTAAGTCCTATAACAGATTTCATGATGATAAGCAGGTAGCGGTAAGCATCGATGTGGAATTTGTCAACTTCAACCTTGTCAATCTTTCCGAAAACAATCTTTCCTAGAGTCTCAACATCTTCATATTTGACCAAGTCCAACCGGATGCCATTGATCTATAAAGTAGAAAATTTTAGTTATGCCTTGAAATTGTTTGCAAAGTTTATTATAAACGAAAAAATACTTACGTCAATATAGCCCTTAATGATAGCATCTTTAATGATCATTTCGTAGTTTTCTACCAGACGCACAACGTTGATGTCTTTATCACCAACCAGAACGTAGTTGTTGGGTCTTAGTGGGAATTGGACACCATTGTGAAGTAACATCCATGGCCAGTAACCCTTCCTAATTGGCTTGTTCCATGTCAATGTAGTAATTTCACCCAGTCCGTTGGACAAACGTTCTAAGTAGTATCTTGCTAGGATTTGCTGGCAAACATATAGGTTCAGCTCCCATCTACGCATCTTAAGTTTGTCGATGACGTTGTCCTTCATCCAGAAGGGATAGTCCACGTGGAAGTAATAGTAGTATGTGTTTAGATCAATATCCTCAGTGAAATATCTGAGCGTGTCTTCATCGCTAAGGTAAACACGTTTGTCGAAAATGTTCTCGTCAATAATGTAGACGCCCTTGTCAGTCTTCTTGATACCGTAAAAATCGCAGAGCTTTGTGTCGAGTAATCCTTTCTTCATCTTCAATAAGTAAGCCTTTTGAATGACATCAGCACGGACGAAGTAGTACGGGTAGATTTCATAAGGAGGCGGCAGAATAATTCCCTTGCAGTCTTCACGATGTCTGACGGCAACTGTGAGAGCATATACGAACATACCCTCGTTCAGGTAGAGGCGCATCCAGCAAGCTGTCTTGATGAAAGTGGTGAAGTCCTTAGCGTAGTAGAGCAAGTGGAACATGGATACGACCTCCTTAAGTTGACGGTCGACATGAATAGTGAATATTTCACCACGTGGCAGCAATCCCATTTTTACCAGGTTGACAAAATTTTTAACGACATCAGTTCTCTAGAAAAAAATGGACCTTTATCATACACTGGTATCATAAATAAAAATAAATAAATTGTGTTGTTAATAAACTTACGGTATATAAGTTAAGGTTTTCTTCGATCTTAAAATTCATTCCAATGTCTTGGATGTCCTTGTACATCACCGGATCAATTACATGGTTCAGTAATTTCAAAATAAACAGCTGCTTTTGTTTAACATCCATTGTGACTAAAAATAATAAAACGCCGTTAGATTTACCTATACACGTTTGTCAGCTTCATCATCTTTGCTGGACATTAACTAGACTATAGCTTTGATATCAGTAGTATGTAAAGAAATTCTGCAAGCAATTTCTAGCGGTTAATGAATTTTCTGGTATGAACATAAAACAATTTCTATGTTCTGATAACCCTTACCTGATAGTTGGACGTCCATATCAATATGAGCCGTGGCCATGGCGGCCAGGCCCAATACCAGCAACGCAATCGACTTCATCTTGCAGTCGAGCCTCTGCTCACTAGACTGTGCTTCTTCCAAAGTGGACCTCGTATTTATATCCCAATTTCACCTAATTATATGTGACCTTACCTATGATTGTTTTCTTTTTCGATAAATGATAAGAAAGGACATCGTGTTCGTTAATGCAACAATGTTTCACTGTTGATAGAGTATCGAACTTCTTACAATGTATTTTGTATCTATAAACAAGCAAACAACCTATCCACCTTTTATTGTAATCTGTTTCAAAATATTATAAAAGAGATTAAATAGTCTACAAAAAATTACCTACAAAGATAAACAACGATGAGGCAATCGAGGTATTTTTGCAAACATTTAGGTACTAGGTACTAGTGAAAGGGAAAATATTCTATAAGGTAATTATATTTTGATATACTCCTAATTTGAAGATCCATTGAGATGTAGGTTATTTTATTTATTTTATTAATATATGACTTGATTTTTTATTGAAAGAATCCTATTACGAATGTGCGATTAGACCTTATCACAAAGGTGTACGTATGCCTACACTAAGAAGCCTACTGAAGATAGATCCCTGCAGGTAGTGTAAATAGTATCTCATTGAATTCGAAAATGCAAAAGCAAGAATTGTAGGCATCGATGGTGTCACGTTTTATTGTTTTTACATCTATGCTACAAATGTTTATTTCAGAAAATAGTGCTTTTTGTTATTTTAGCTTTAATCGATACCTTAAGGTTTTATTTCATACTTGGGTTAATTTACCACGATTTGCAAAATCACAATCAAAAGATTAGATAAACATGATTTGAATTTTTTTTTATTTCATAAGATCTAGTTCATCAATAGACAAATATATTCATCCTTTATGTACGATGTTTCGTGTGTAAATGCAAAACTGAAAAAGTCGATTTTACTTTTACTAATTTCTCTTACTCTTTTTGTAATGTTAACGCCATGAAGGTCATGTAGGTATACAATAATTATAATCATATCTCTATGGAGCGTCGGTGGCTCAGTGGTTTAACCACTTGACTTGTAATCTACAGGTCTTGGGTTCGAATCCCGCCATGTACCAATGTGATTTTCGATTTTTCGAATTTACATAATGTACCCGACGTTCTTACGGTGAAGGAAAACATCGTGATGCAACCTGCACATATCGGCGAAGAAATTCAAAGATATGTATGAAGTCAACCAACCCGCATTTGGCCAGCGTGGTTGACTATGGCCTAGTCACCTTAGACTACAGCTCTTTTAATTAGAACAGTCGCACAATAATAATTACGGGGATGTCTGAAGGATATTCTTTCTATCTAGCGAAACTGTGTAAAATATGTAAATAGCGTTGACCTTTGACGATAAAATAAAAGACATAGTTACCACCTTCTACTCGTATATCATCATTATAATAAATACTCGTAAATCCTACTTTCCTACTATTATTATAAATGTGAAAGTTTAGATGGATGTTAAAGTTTGCAACCTAAACGGCTGAATGAATCTCGATGAAAATTGGCATAGATGTAGAGCATATTCTGGAAGAACAATTATGCTACTTGCTTTTTTTTGATAAAATCCGCAAGGAAGGAGTCGCGGGCGAAAGCTAGGAGATAATAAGTCCCTTTATCATTTTAGATTGACATCTCAAGGTGCATATTTTTTTAAAACGTTGTAACTATTGGAATAAAACTTGCCTCTGAATATATTTTAGTAAAAGTGTAAACTGTCTGTAATATGTTTTAGATTTTGATCTATACTGCTCGTCAAGCTAAATCCATATTTCAAAACTTTGGAATTGAAACTCTCGTTCCACATCCACTTTCATTATTTTATTCTTATGTAAATATTATATGAAACTATCGGGGTTATGAAACTTATTCATATTGTTCATCTATACTAATATTATAAAGAGGAAAGATTTGTATTTTTGTATGTATTGAAATAACTCAAAAGCTACTGGGCTGATTTCAAAAAATCTAAACCATTAAAAAGGTTATTTATCTGTGAGTAACATAGGCATCATTTTTATTTATTACACGCAGACGAAGTCACGAGCAACAGCTATTTAGTTATACTTCTAAAATTGAAAGTTGTTTGCAAGAATTAATTTTTAGCAGATAACCCTTAAGTGGCGAACGGAAAGGTTGACATTTGGTACGGAGCTAGATCACTTTCTGGAATAATGCATTGGCTACATATAAAATTTTATACCGTGCAGAAAAAGTATCGGGAAAAAAGCTAGTGGTTTATAAATTCAAGCATGCAAAAATTATGTTCCGATACTTCAATACATCAGTGAACATATTCATATTTATACTTAGAAGATTGTAGCTCGTAGAAGCTCGTAGCAACATATGCACGACTGGGAGTATCTAATTGTTTCTGCTTGTCAATCGCCAGCATTGACATCTTCTGGTAAGACTACGAGTACGCCTTTAACCAGTTATTGCTTTATTTTTTTTATTTAGAAATGAAAGGCTATTCTAACTTGCTTATTAATGTATGTGAAAGCATGCACTCTTCTTTGTGGTTAGCATTTCACCGCTACTTTTTCATCTCATCCCTATTGTGTTTTAAGTTAATGTTTTGCAAATAAATTGCCCGATCTTGTTTAAATCGATTTACACTATATTTTAAAGAAACAAGCCTCGTCAGACCCACAGAGTTGTGACATGAGTATATTACTAATTTTTAAGTGAGAATAGGAATAGGGAATAATAAAAATACAAATAAATTTCATTCAATGAATTATAATTTTTATTCGCCTGCAAAGGGTAGTTTTGAATTTGAATCTCTGTCCGGTTTGCTCGGAAGCGGGCCTGCGGAGAGGGGTGCGGGAGAAAGTGTCATGTATAAGCAGCCCAGTCAGTCAGTTACGAGAATGCGAGTTTGAGAGCCATCAGAAGTGGGTAATGAACGGGCTCGCTTTGAATTTCGGTTTCGCGTTTGGGATGAACGGTGCATACGGGTGCATTTGCAGGCAGCTTCGTTGGCACCTATAGACTTTGACAGAATTTGACTACACTTAATTGACATCGACAGTGACAGATACCTGTTGTGTTCGGCACACTTCGACAAATTCTACTTAACTATATGCATAAGTTGGTAAGTTTCGGGTTAGGGCCATAAATGAAAAATAATTTATTTTTAAATATTTTTTTATTATTTTATGATGCTTTAAATAACTGTCATTTTAAAAATACAATCGCCTTAGTCATTGATTACAAGTCAAAAAGATTAACATCTCTGTCGACTTTAGTGTTGATGTCAACATCTACCATGTAGTCGTTGCCAACAACGGTGTGGTCGACCATGTTGTAGTTCTTCAGCACCCAGCGGTCCCATCTGGTCTTCATGTCACAAACCTGCTTCTTGTGGAAGATCACAACATCGACGAACTTCATGTTCGGTGTAAAGAACTTAGTGTAGTCAATAGTACGATCAAACGGAAAACCTAATGGCATCTTGTCAAGAAGTACAGTAGATCTGAAGTCCAATAATAAGTCTTTACGGTTGGTGTCCAAGATAGTCAGGTCCACATTGTCGACTAATTTCAAGGGAGTTACAATGACGTATAACAAGAAGTTCATACCACCTACACGACCTTTAGGTAACAGAAGCCTTGTCGGGAATCCAGTGTGGTAGTTTCTCAAGTCCTTCATCAGTAGATCCCTCATGTCGGTCATCGTGTCGATCTTCTTCCAGAGATCACGAGTCATAAGACGATCGCGTACCAAGTTGTGCATATCGATTGAGTTTCTGATGATGGTGTTTTTGCCGGTAGTCAACTTGTACAGGAAGGAGTCCAGCTCAACAAAGTTGATGCGGTTTTGGTTGAGATCGATCAAACGGCCCCAGTGATCTTCTTTGGGTCCCAGGAATAGACGGACAACACAGTCAACAGATTTATCAGACATAATGTCCAGGGTAACTTTGAAAGGTTGATGATTAAGGCGACGTTTGCGTACAAAGAACACCATATCGGATGTAGTCTTCCTCCATTCATCGTCAGTGTATGTTACGGCGTTAGTCATATCCATTAAGTAGTCATCGAAGTAAGTAACCAGCTTGTCAACGACAACGTTGTCAACCTTCACACCAGGGAAGTACAGCTCGTCTCTTGTGTAGCATGGAAGACGTTTCTTGAAGAGGATCATTAAATCACAAAGACGTTTCTGCAGTTGATAGAAGATAGGGTCACGAAGAGCAGTCTGGTAGATGTCGAGGACAGTCGGTGTGACGAAGTACCTGAAAAATTATATTATTTAAAATATATTTTATTGGTGTCTCAGATTTTCCTATATTTTTGTGTAGTTAAATAAGGGATATTCATTGACTGTCATAAAATTGACGCAAATTCTTTTATAATAAAATATTTGACAAATTAAACAATACTTACTTGTCCGAGTTGAACGTGTTAAGTCCCATTACAGACTTCATGATGATAAGCAGATAGCGGTAGGCATCGATGTGGAATTTGTCGACTTGCGTCTTGTCAATTTTACCGAAGACAAGCTTGCCGAGTGTTTCAATATCATCGTGTTTGAATAAGTCTAGACGAACTCCATTGATCTGAAAAATAAATAGTAAACAGGTATCATTTATTTGTCGCAAAAAAAAGAACAAAAGGGTTGATAATTTATTAAATACTTACATCAATGTAACCCTTGAGAACAGCGTCTTTAATAATCATTTCGTAATTCTCCACAAGGCGAACTAAGTTTATGTCCTTGTCGCCAACCAATACGTAGTTGTTCGGTCTCAGCGGGAATTGAACGCCGTTGTGGAACAGCATCCATGGCCAGTATCCTTTTCTGACGGGCTTGTTCCATGTCAAAGTCGTTATTTCGCCTAAACCATTGGACAAACGCTCCAAGTAGTATCTGGCAAGAATTTGCTGACACACATAGAAGTTTAATTCCCACCTTCTTACTTTCAGTTTGTCGAAGAGCTCATCTCTCATCCAGAATGGATAGTCTACGTGGAAGTAGTAGTAGTAGGTGTTTAGATCGATATCTTCAGTGAAGTATCTCAGTACG